ATTGTAAACAATATTTTTAAAATTAAATTAAAGCGCAAATGACAAATTTTAGTCATAAACATTTTTTTACGAGGACAAATTTTTCCGCCATATTGGATCTTCTATTTTGAATTTCGAAATTTTGACTTCAGATTCGAATTTAGTAACCTTAAAAACCTTGTTAAAACTAAAATCATTACACAATTTTTAAAACTTTTTCAAAAACATTTTTGGCACGAAACATTTTTCTTTGATGATTACGCGAGATTATCTCAGGGGAAAAAAACATATGGCGTTAAAAAAAATATATTTTAAAGATAAAAGTTGGCACTTTAAGATGCCGTAAACGTAGAAAAAAAATTTATTTCGCTAGCAAAAAAATCACAAATATGTCAAAAAAATGTCAATTTTTACTTTAACTTCACTTTTCGCAAAAACTGACGTGATAGATCAATTTCATTGCTGAATTCGTATTCAGCGCGCGAAAATACATCGGAAATGGTATCTTTTGTTCAAACAGCAGAAAAAAAGTCTTAAAACGTCAACCTGTGTAATCGTCTCTACATATGTATATTTTTATGTAAACCCTGTGTGTGTGGGTGTGTGTGTGTGTGTGTGTGTGTATGTGTGTGCAGGATTTCATAAAAATAAATTTTCAGTGCAAAAATGAAAAAAAAGAGAAATGCTCTCCAATGATCTTGATCTTAACAATTGTTATCTAGGACGTAACTTTCAAGTCTTATAACGATAGAAAAATACTTCATGAAAAATTTTTTTATTGTAGTGTTTTGGAAAACTCTCGAGGTGTGCTACAAGAAAATGCAATGAAAAATAAGGGGTTCTATCTAGATTTGATCTTGGTAGTGCCTATGCAAAATTCGTTATTTCCACTTTTTTTTCCTCAAGAAAACAACTTTCATATAAAACTTTCTTTCTTAATTTCTGAAATATTCGCCTGAGACGATTAAAATGCTCCATCCTGTATACATATGTATATTGTATATACAGGGTCCCAAAATTATCACCAAATATTTCATGAGCAGGAAACTAAACTAAGTTGAAAAGTTCTCTACTATTTTGCAATTTTCGCAATAGTTAACAAGATATTAATTACTAAAAATTGCCGAAAATTGATCTTCAATAATTTTTTACTCAATCATCATAAAATATCATCAATTTTAAAGAAAAACAGCAAGAGACACAAATTATTTATTTTTATTTTCTTCTCATAGAACTCTAAGAATTTTTTCAGAATTTTTTATCAACTTTTTAATACTCCATTTTCTTTTATTGTCAACTATTTTTACCAATATGAGAAAATATGTAGTATTAAAAGTATTAAAAAATTCTAAAAAAAATTCTGAAAAAATTCTCAGAATTTTTACGAGAAGAAAATAAACAATTTTTGTCTGTCGCAGTTTTTCTGTAAAATTGATAATATTTGAGTAAAAAATTATTAAAAATCAATATTCAGCGACTTTCAATAATTAATATCTTGTTAACTAATGCGAAAAATAGCAAAATGGTAGAGAACATTTCGACTCAATTTAGTATGCTCTACAGAAGAGCGCTTGACAAAAAATTTTGGGACATCTTGTATTTCGATATTCATGTAAATATTAATGCTATTATTGAACGCTTTTCAAAGAACAAAAAAGAAAGCTAGAATTTATTATATAAGTAATAAGTAAATATTTACATTTTGTTACATTGCCCCTCTTCCATAGAATAATTCTTTGGATCCACCATTGTAAATGAGATGAGATAAATCTTTTTCAAATCCTTTCTTTTGAACAATCTACGCTGTTCTACATATATAATTATTATTATGAAGACGATATAGACAACATTAGCATCATTGTTGATAATGGGACGTTCTGTAGATTCGAATATTTCTTAGGACAATTTAAGCGGTATCTTCGAAATATATTTTCGAAATATAGAGTTTTTATGTGTATTTCATTTATCGCAGTCAATCTATAATTTTAGCAGATTATAGTTTTTATCAAATAAACAATATGGATTATCGCGCTTATAGCGATCCCTATTAGTTTTTTCATTCGAAGATATAAGAGTGTTAAAATATATCCCATGTTTCTAACGTTTGTTAATTTTGTAAAATTCCTTCATGATGTTTCATAGATACATAAAATGATAACAAAATTATTAAAAAATTACAATATATTATTCTAAATCACTTCAAAGTCATCATTTAAAAATAATATTTGGATCATATATATGTTATTTTTTAATAAGTAATAGTTTTTTTAATCTGTGCTCTAATAGAAAAATATTATAAAATAAATGACAAAAATCTCAATTTGTTAATATCTCAGTTTTTTAATATAAGTTCTTCCTGTAATATTCAAGATTATTTATATAAAGTTATTGTATATATATATATATATATA